TGATGCAGCAACGTAATTTCATCGCGCCATAGAATAGACACGGTCAAAAATGTTCGTTTTTATAAAAAAACAGTGTCAAATTTAAAAAAAATGTTAAAAGTAAAAAAAAATCTCAGCAGCTGCATTTTTTAGGCTGTCAATAGCTGTAAAAAAGGCTGTCAGTAGCTGCATTTTTTTTAGAAAAGGCTGTCAATAACTTTTTTAGTGGAGGCTGTTAATAGCTGCATGGTTGGAGCAAATCGGCACTAGAAAATATTCTATTAACCAGGCTCGGCCCATATACTAGTTTGGCCTTTTTGACACGGTTTATGCCGGCTTTGGCTTCATCTATTTTACGTATATCGAGGCACTGTAGCGTGAAACCGTTTTGTAAGTCGAGGTTAAAATAAACTAGAAGCCGTTTTGAAAAAGTCGTGCCAAAGGGGCTTAAGTTATCGGCCTAGTTCCACACCGCGGCCTAGCTGGAGCGCACCACGTGAAGCCGCTCAGGCGTCCGGGCGGGGATCCAAGCGGGAAGCGGCGCTGCGGCTTCGTCGTCTCAGCACTCAGCATTCAGCACCCAGAAGCGTGAGGGGATTAGTCCCACCTCGACGCTCCAGGGAAGGCGCGAGGGGGCGAGACGGCTATATAAGACTGCCCACAGCGTTGGGTTTCACCGATGCTGAATTAGGAGAGAGAAGGATGAGGCACCGGCTCATGCCATTGTAGAGTGCGATGCCAAGTTGAAAAAATCAAGCACCGTGGAAGAATAAACAAGTGAATTCTTCACCCATATGCTATGCAACTGGTGCTGGCTGCTGGCCCCCATGGCATGGCTATTGGTGGCCCACACAAATGAAACACCGGTGTTGACATTGTGGGTAGACATGAGTCTTGGCATCGGTACCCACTTGCATGTATGGATCTGTTTTCAGCACCGCACAACGCTGTGGACAGTCTAATGCGGCCCAGGGGCGACGTCATCCCATACTTACCTGGGCGGGTCGATTGGCTATCATGAAGACCCATGGCCTGGGGGTAAGCGTTCGCGCTGACCCTGCCGATTCTAGCAAATTGTCATAGTTCTTGGCCCAATAGAACCACGAACTGGGCCTGCGGTCATACAAACTTGGTACCCGATAAAAAAAAAAAAATTACCATCCTGCTGAGAGGCCTTTTTCTTTTGTGGGCAAAACAGTAATCGTCCTTTTGCGATTAAAAAAAAAAAAGGAATCGACCTTTTGCGCTTAACAAATGTGCGCAACACTCTGAAGAACCTCGCCAAGGTTTATGGGCTAGGTTTAAGTTTCGTATTAGTAGTCGCCAAGCTTTTGTGCAAATGCGGGGCATGAACATATACAATCTAAGGAACCTACAATATAATTGCTTAATTAAGGATCTGTTTGATGTTAATTATATTATAGTAATATGGATTATGAATGACAATAATTTTAAAGATTGTTTGGATCCATTGTGGTTGTATTAATCATCTAAAACAATATGATTGTAATCCAAACAGGCTAGTTTATATGGTGGATTATTATAATCAAAACACCGTATTACAATAATCCTATAATTACATTTTTTTTGGGAAATTATTAGTGCTAAAAGTCCAACTTGCCGCACCTTATCTAAAGTGACGCCAAACTAAAGGACATGATGATAGGTATTTGTCACTCTAACTAATAATAATCTACCACGATAATCTAGAAACCCAAACACTAACCCAGGTGTGATCAAAACAAGCCCTTAAACCCTTAGATTATAGAGGTGGATTATTAGTAGTCAAAGTGCAAATGACCTATAATTTCAAAGGGCGGGTTAGAGAGAGAGAGAGAGAGAGAGATATAGGATTATAATAATCCAGCGTTTGGATTATTATAATTGAATCCATAGTGGGATGTAAACACCTGGTGGGATTACTATAATCTAGATGGGATCTAAACACCTGGTAACATGTGCTAAACTACTAATTAATACTACTCGGAAGACCCAATTTCAAAATTTGCTAAAAAACAAACTAATTGCACAATTAAATCAAGCGCTATAAATTCAAACTTGACATGAGCAACTCTCAAGTATTACTAGATTCACTTAGGCCTTCCACAACGTTAGCTCGTGGTGGTGCTTCAGATGGAGAGACTTTTCAAGCACCACTTCTCGCGTTACAACTAGCGATACCGATGTCGTGCAATTGGGGAGCGAAGCAAGAACATGCATCGGTGCCCAAACAGTGGAAAATAATATTTTATTCATTGCAAACTGATCCTCTCGTGTAGTGCTATGGGCAGATTAGTTAGTTGTGCTATTGTTAATTGTTTGTGGGGTCCACTAAGATGAAAAAGAGTGAAGCTACACGCTGCAGTAAGAAAATGAATCAAGCCTGACTGTGAGGTGGCAAATATGAACAGCATTAGACAACGCTCACGCTGTGAAAGGCCTTAGGACGTCATTGGTTGGATGCATATTGTAGACACTTCAACCAGACTTGTGGGATGCGACAGGCAGCAGAGATGGAGGTGGGGTTCCTGGGTCTGGGCATCATGGGCAAGGCAATGGCGGTCAACCTCGCCAAGGTATTTGCATCGGAGCCGCTGCGCCCGCGCCGGCGTCCTCCTGTTCGCCTCAATCCGAATCTGTCCCCTCCCGTCCCGATTAAGCCCCGCAACATGCAAATGACCCCGGGTGCTGAGCTTGGAGGATCTGAATATCTGATAACGCTGTCCTCGCCCAAGGCAGTAGCAATGCGCATGCGCTGCCTTGACCCCTTAATTCTCTGCTCTCATCGCCCACTGAATTTTAGTCATGTCTACGTTTTACTCTGATTTCTGTGATGTAAATTCTCGACTGGTTATCAGTCAGGTTGGTTCACATGCCTCTCCTCAATGATGGTTGCAGATATGTTTGTGTGCTAAATCATATGAATTTTTGTTGTTATTTCGTTGCTCAAATGGACTTGATTGATCTTGATCGAGGCACTCACTGAATGCAGACCCTTTAAGCAAAACTCAAACTCCATCAACCTGCTATATACTAGACCTTTGAATAGCAGGAGTACAGGAACTTTGGCAGCATGCTAGTTTTATGACTGCAAATACAGCATGGCATGTTCCAACCGATTCAGTGGTATGTGGTGTCATCTCCATCGCTGACAATCTCCATTCGCGTGGCAGTGTGCGCATGACGCCGGCGGCGAGGTCGTCAAGCTGCTGTCGTGCTCTCCGAGGATGCCCAATAGAGAGGGATAAACTTACCAAGTCAAGGAAGGGGTGCCAAGCAAATCAGACAACCAAACACATCATTTACTAGCCAGACTTAGATAGCACTGACAACCAAACAACTAAGGGTTAGCTTGGTGGAAGCAGCCTAAGGCTGTCCAGGCTAGGATTCTAGCCAGCCTAAAAATAGACCAGGAAACCAAACACACCCTATCTGTTTCTCGCGACCCTGGCTAGCAGGATGCGAGCAATGACTGACCTAATGATGTTATTAGTACATGTTGAATTTATATCTCAAATCAAATAATACTATCGAGTAATGCGAGGAATTAAGCACTGACAAAATAGTTGGACATGATAAATATCATGGTGGTGATTTTTAATCACACTGTAGCTCTGTTCTTGTAAGAACAACCAATAGTCTTTCATGATAACCTGGCTCTATGCAATCAATTTTTTTAGGAAACTCTATGCAATCAGCTTTGAATAGGAGTACTTAAAAAGCAGCTATTGATGTGGCTGAACCATGACTTAGGGCTCTAGGTGAGTTTTAATTCTAGCCTCTTTCAACTTGTTTGGGACTGAAAGGTTACGTTGTTGTTGTTGTTATGCAATCAGCTTACCAAAATGCAGCGTTGCCTGCAATGACCAATGAGCCTGGCCATCGGAGGCTCGGAGCCGTGGGCCTAAATGCGAGGCAGGCTGAAGTCATCCACGGACCAATCACGTCCTTAACAATTGTTTTGTGACCTTCCAGCAAAAAAAAAAGTTTTGTGACCTAAAAAATAGTAAAAATGTTTAGTTTTATTTAAGGGTAAAAACTAGAGGCATGAGCAAGTTGAGTAAAGCTAACCAACGATCCTAACTTCATGCTCAGCTTCCGCGAAGTCTTACCATACAACTAGATTCTAGTGGTAAGCCGGCTTCACGCTTAGCTTCCGCGAAGTCTTACCAAACGCTTAAAATGTAACTGGATTTTTTTCATTTACATTACAAGCTGAGAGCTAAAAAGGCAGTGTTAATTCAATGGGTCATTTGAATAAGCCAAAATCTTTCTTCAAATTGTTGTTGTGAAAGAAAAATACTATTCTGACTGAAAAGATATTGTTTATGTGAATAAAGGTTCGATCGAGTGGGTCACCAAACACCAAACCAAACAAATTTAACACGCCCAAAAAAACCACTCTCCGCCTCTTCTCAGTGCTCCCCGTTCATTTGCCATAAGAAGCACTTTAGAATTGATTTTCATCTACTCCTCACCTTTCTCCTCCACCAGAATTATTCTTCCGGAGAATCAAGAAGTGAGACCAAGAATAAAGAACGAGAGCTCTACCAAAGTTGCCCTTAAAGCGTCGACACATTTTAGCTCCGGGGTTAGTTTTTAGTCCCTCGACTGAATTTACTACTAATATAATGCAGAAATTTACTGCGCTTGCTTGAATATATATCTCATCGCACTGACGCGCCGTATCGTAAATCCAAACCAGCAAATTTACTCCATCCATCGACGTTGGTGTGGGGAAGCGAAGCGAGTGGGAACATGGCACAGACAAAAAGGATGATAACACGGGCGAGGGGCCCTGCGCTTGCAGTCCTGCACCCGCACCCGCGCTGCTTCGCAAAAGCGGCCGGGAAGTGGGCACGCACCGACCGAAGCATCCCGGAACACCGACAGATTCCCGCTAGTATTTAGATCGGCCCATCCGCCCATACCTCCGGACGACGACGAGGAGGAGGGACGGAGGGAGGGCCGGCGAGGCGAGGCCTAATCCGGTCGGACCGGCGAACTCCCCCGACCTCGCCATGGGCAGCCTCCGCGTCGCCGGCTTGGGGTGGGCCGCCGCCGCCTCGCCGGAATGGGGCGTGCGCCGCAGCCGCCGCTGCTGCCGCGGGGTGCCGCTGGCCCGCCCCCGCGCGGCGGCGGCCTCCCTCGGCGCAGGGCAGCTCCGGGTGGGGACGGAGCACGGGTGGCTCTGGGACTGCCGCGGCGGCGGAGCGAGGGATTACGCCAGGGAGATGGAGGTGGCGGTGCGTGTCGTGCAGGTGGCCTGCACGCTGTGCCAGCGCGTGCAGGACTCGCTTCTCCGCCCCGGCCCCGACGCTGCCGCCGGCGGCGGCCGCGTCCACGCCAAGCTCGACCGCTCCCCCGTCACCGTCGCTGGTTCGTATTGTTCTGCTGCCCTTCCATCAGTTCCCTTTCCCTTCCACGTGCTCACCCGGTCACCCTCTTCGTCGCGCGATCAGCAATGAGGATTAGGTCAACAAGGATTGCGCTGCAGTAGAAAATTGCAGGCAACGGATGTAGGATGAGTACCTGGGAATCTCAATTCTCAATAATAAATAAATACCAGTAGAACGTGGGAAGTTCCAGGATTCTCAGTCAATTACCAACATACTTAGTTTATCATTACATGTGTTGGGTTGCATCATCATTTGGCTGAAACACGATTTTCCAATGTTTAATGAGCACAATTAGATATACTGTATTTGCACTTGGACTGGTTGATCAGTTACATCACTAGCTTATGAACTGCAATCTAGTTGCTTGGTTGGATCATCAGAGTGAGATAGAATCATTGCTCCAGGATACCCAGGAGTAACTCATACATAAAACTAATGCTGCACAGCTAGTCGCTTACTTGCTCTATGTGTTTCGGAAATCTACACCTGATAGGCTAATATCTGGGTGCAGTGTTTTATGCCCTTGTAATTTGAAATTTTTGTTTTCCTACTTTATGGCAGATTGGGGTGTTCAAGCGACAGTAAGCTGGCTGCTTTCCAGTTCCTTTCATGATGAGAACATATCTATCGTTGCCGAAGAAGATGATGAGACACTGTCTAGTAGCGATGGTGCAACTTTGCTTGAATCTGTTGTTGAGGCTGTCAATGGCTGTCTTGTTGAAGCTCGAAACTATGGGCTGAGATCCCCTGAGAAAGAGCTCGGAGCTCATGATGTTATTCAAGCCATACGGAAATGCAGCTCAACTGGAGGCCCGAAAGGAAGATTTTGGGTGCTTGATCCTGTCGATGGCACCCTTGGTTTTGTGAGAGGGGACCAATATGCTATTGCTCTAGCCTTGATTGAAGATGGAGAAGTTATACTTGGTGTTCTTGGGTGCCCAAATTATCCAATGAAGAAAGAGTGGCTCAACTATCATCAAAAGTACTACAGGTTGATGTCTAAGGTTGCTCCTCCTCCACTGGGGTCCTGGCATAAGGGTTGTGTGATGTATGCCCAGAAAGGTTGTGGCCAAGCTTGGATGCAGCCACTGGTCCATGACTTCGGTAAGCTAAATTGGCACCACCCAAGGGAGATTCAAGTATCATCCATCAGTGATCCAATCTCAGCTACGTTCTGTGAACCAGTTGAGAAAGCCAACTCAAGCCATTCCTTCACAGCAGGACTTGCTCAAAGTGTAGGACTAAGGTCAGTTCTTTCTTTCATTTCTGTCTGACCTTGCTGATATCATTTCCTTAGCATGAAAAATTCATTCATACATTTGTATATGGCATCCATTAGTCAACATCTGGTTTTTGTTGAATAATACACTGCTTTTTCATCTCAAATTTAGTGCAATATTGTCCAAAATGTGACTCTTGTACAGTTGCTCAACTTGGTCTTTTGATTGTACTGTTTTATTCACATCATTTTGCTTTGTTTCCAGGAATCAACCTCTGCGCGTGTACAGCATGGTGAAATATGCTGCAATAGCACGAGGTGATGCTGAGATTTTCATGAAATTTGCAAGAGCTGGATACAAAGAGAAGATATGGGATCATGCTGCAGGGGTGGTTATCATTCAGGAGGCTGGTGCAGTGGTCACAGATGCTGGAGGCCGCCCATTGGACTTCTCAAGGGGTGTTTACCTGGAAGGTTTGGATAGAGGCATAATAGCTTGTTCCAGAGCATTGCTTCATCGTAGAATTTTAGATGCTGTTGATGTGAGTTGGAACTCATCAACACTATGATCCAGAGTCCAGACAGTAAGATCTTTGGAGAGAATGGCCTTGTGTTGGTCATAGCATGCTAAGGTTAGTTTTACAAATAACTGTTTCATCCTTAGATCCAATCTTTTTTCTTTTGCCTTACATTCTGATATCTCATACAGGTAACTTGGGGAATTGGTTTAAGTATTCATTGTGGTGCTGTTGTGACTTGTGACTATGAGGTGAAACAGTGCAGCATCTAGGGTAGTAATAGCTTGTCTGCTCATATAAACAAGAAGTTGTCTCGAGATTGACAAATTGTTGGCTTTTGTTCAGCAACGCCATATGTAATTTTGTATAGGTGTCTGTTGATGAAAAGCATGTGCGCATGCTTTTTTTTTACTAATTGATCTGTTTCTTTTCAACTTATGCCTGTCAATCGTCAGGCATATTGGTTAAGACAGTGCAGCACCATTTGCTGACAATCATAATGTTAGAACCTTCAACTGATTCATCAAATGAGTTATTGTCCGCCAGTTTTCTTTCATCTACCATGTTAACACTTTCAGTTTTCGCTTTATTAAATGCTTTCCTGCATATGAATTACCAGTCCATTTCAGGTCAGAAAGAACTAAAGAAGACAGGCCACATTTTCTCATGCAGATTGTGTTGTATGGATCAAACAGATTCACCACATGAGCACAACTATATACCAGATTAATAGCAAGTCTGTAGATGAGACACAATGCATGATGCTATGATAAAAAAAGTTCAGAACCATGATGCATATGCTGTGATTGGATTGGAGGACTGAGACTGTAAATGTGATTAGCTGGAGAGCTGCACCGAGCAGCACTGGCTGAAGAGCTCCTTGCCGCCGTCCTCGGCGTCCTCCTGACTCATCTCGGGCCGGAAGCTGCTCCACGCCGGCACCAGACCTGGCGCAGCGCTGGTGTCGAAGCTGTGCACCAGCGAGACTGTTCTGAAGCTGTCATCGCCCGACGGCACCTGGTACCCGGCGAGGAAGTAGAGCTGCGTGCCGACGACGGCCATGGTGAGGTAGAGCCGCTGGGCTGAAGACGGGAGGCTGGCGAGCAGCGACAGGTCGGGCAGGGCGGAGTGGTCCAAGATGCTCCAGATGTTGAGCTCGCCGTCGTAGACCTCGACGTGGCCCTTCCAGCTGTTGAGGCAGTCGCCGGAGCTGAACAGCCTGTTGGCCACAGCCACGATCTGGTTCGGGGGCACGTCGAGCTGCCACATCCCAGGGAGGATCTCCCACGTGCCCCTCGCGCAGTGGAACACCTCGGCCGAGCTCCGCTCCAGCGCCGACGACTGCAGCACGGTGGCTCCCGGCGCCAGGAGGGTGGCGTCGCTGGCCGTCAGCGTGCTCTCCGCGAAGCCCCCCACGACGTGGAAGCTGCCCTGCCACGTCACGCCGACGCACTTGTAGCGCAGCGTGCTCATGTCCGGGAGCGCCGACCACTGCCCCTTCTCCGCGTCGTACACCTCGGCCGCCGCCGTGCCCCGGGCGCCGGACAGCGAGCACTGCCCGCCGGCCACGCAGATCCTGCCCCGGCACGGCGCGCACGCGAAGTCGAATCGCGGGACCAGGAGCGGCGCGCAGTGGTGCCACTCGCCCCGGCGCGCGTCGTACCGCAGCACGTCTGCCCTCACGCCGACGTCGGTGTCGTGGTACTCGCCGGCCTCGGCACCACGCTCCCTCCGGCAGAGCCGGCCACCGATGATGTACACGGATTCGCCCAGCGCCGCCACGGCGAACCCCTTCAGTATGTGGCCGTCAGGGACGCCCGGGAGCGCGCCCACGCGGCGCCACGTGTTGGCGCCAGGCTCGTAGCACTCGAGGCTGTTGGAGCTGCCGAGCGCAAAGCACACGTATATCCTGACGCTGCCATCGCCGCCGCCGGCAACATTGCCACTGCTGCCGCTGCTGCTTCCGGTGCTGGAGAAGGACGGCGAGGCGGCGACGTCGCAGTACAAGGAGCCCATGGCTCTAAACCAGGTACGAGCTGGTATCTATGCCTTCTCTTGTAATACTCATCAAGTGGTTACCATTGCGATTAGCGTAGCTGGGTTAGCCGGGGGAGTTTGCAAAGGTGCAGGCAAGTGCCTATTTATACAGGTTTGCGGTGTTGCAACTCCGTTGTGCAATTTGCCATGTGGCTTCTGGTGGACGGAGTGATCGATGCGAGGCATTGTAAGGAGCTTATTGGAAACTCCGGCCGCTCCGTGGAATTTGTCGAGCATCTAGAGCTTGTCTTCTTGCTTGCATGAACAGCGTCTGTAAGCCCGTCTATTTGTACCCATGCATAGGTTCTACCAATGTGAGGACAGATTCAGATGTTCCATAGCGAAATGTCCTTGCAACTGCAAACCAATTGTAGTGGTTCTTTTTATAAAAATACTAGTAACAAAGAGGCATGCAATTTAGTAAGAACATTATGAGCGACCAAGGTGATAGTAGATCTTGACCGAGAGGCCACCACCAAATTACTGGCATGGTCTATTTTGAACTTTATATTATAATTTAGGCATTTCTGGTTAGTCCAGAGCCCACAGACTCATCTAAACGCAAAGCCTCAGAGGCTGCGGTCAATGGCCACGGTGTGCAAGGACAGCTTGAACAAAATACAGGACGATACTCAGTTTCTAGCAAGCATTGATGCATTTCCTTCGGTTCTTGTCCTTATTTTAGATTGTTGTTTACTTTAAGACAGACCCTTATTTTAGCTAACTCCTGCCACTAATAATAAGCCTTTCTCCATTTTCTATTTGTCTGTTCCTGTCTCAATAAGTCCTTGCCGTTCTCCATCAGTTTCTTTGGTCCCTCCATACTCCTTCCTCTCTTCTTGCATATATCCTTGCACATTGCCCTTGTTGTGATGGGTCCATCCAATTTCTCTGAGACTCCCCCCTTTGTTTCCCATCCACATCATTCAACAGCACAACCATCACACAGGAAGATTCTGCCTCTCAGAATCAGATAATTCTTCGTCTTCTTTGTTGTGATTGTGGCCACAAGGCCCCAAGGGATGTAGGTTGCATTGATCCAATGAGAAGTGGGTGAGAGTGATATAGCACGGTTAAGGATGGTGCCAATCATCCTTCACCGTGCATTGTCCTTCTCTAACCCGCCGCTTCATCGCCGTGATGTGTCACCGTTACAGGTCCCGATTATGGGAATTGGATTGTACTGATGAGGAATGATTGTACTGGCGAAAAATTAATCTGAATTAAAATTTTACAGGACGCCTCGGCTGTGTCCAACAGACCTGAAGGCCTGGCATTATTGACGACAATTGCTGAGGGCACTGGCTGCTGCAATCCTAGTCCTCCATTGCCAAACCACTCGGCGTTGGAGAAAAGTCTCACCAGCAAGATCCTCCGGCTGAGAGAGGTTCTGGATCTGCCATGTCAAAGTTCATGCGACGTATTGGATCAGGTTCATGCCAAAACTTGACATCATTTCCCATTTCGGCAGACATCATGATGGGCGTATACAAATTGTTCTCCACACTTAACGCAGTTGCTTCTGGATACCCTGGGGGTTCTGAAAATTGCATATCCCAAATGTTTATCAGGTCTATCAGGAAATCATACATCTTCTGTACGGGAGGTCTGTCATCTGAATTGAATCCCTTTATCTGTACCCTACTTGCAAAACGTCTCCTGGACACATGTTCATAAAAAAATGCTATCCCTTTTCTCCATGCTGTGTTAAATAAGTCTGATCCATCATCTACTACTGAAAAACAAACAGGGTCTTGTTCACCTCCATAGGGTCCTCATGTTGGTCCAGGATTGCCACTCAAAAAACAAGCAATTTCCCAGCTCAGGCTCTGAGAAGCAAACAATCATAGGAAGCGAGAGCTTAGATCATGTAGGTATGCAGTTTGTCTTGCCCATGTTGATACTTAGCTGTCAATACAATGACCAGAAAGCTTATGCCATCATACTGAACTGTCGCCGTCCGTCGAGTTCATTACTCGCTGTTTAAACTGGAATTGTAGGTGAGCGTGTCATTGAGATGATTGATCAAGTGACTCCAGTGGTGAAAGAAATGTTCAGTTTCATGGAAAGCTCCAGTTCTGCAACGGCAGCATCTGCATCATCAGCTTGGCCTGAGGATCTCCCAGAAAGAAGGAGCCTCCCTCCTGTTCTCTGTCGCACTAGATCTCCGGCGCATCGCGGAAGTGCCAGCCATCGTCCATCAGACGGTGACGAGGTTGCGATGCCTCGCCAAGACGGCACAGCGAGGCACACAGGACATTGCAAAGTTCGGACACCGGCGCCTGGGCTGGAGGAGGATGGGCAAACCAGCAGCAGCAGGCATGAACCACCGTCAACTCCTAGTCCTACTGTTGACCCTTTACCGCTGCAGTCGACGCTGTCGTCGGTGTCCCCACATCTGCTGTCGGCGCCGCCACCGTCCCCCATGCCCGTTGTTGACTTGTTGGCTTGCCCATGCTTCTGCAATCCTGGGAGGCAATGCAAGATGGCCACGCCGCCGCAGCAGTTGTGCAGCCTACAGTCGTCGCACAGCCTTCTGAGGCAGCGCCGACGACGGCATCGAGAGACACCACGCCCGTCAGCACCAGCATGGAAGGCTCTACGAGCTCTGCATCACTTGAAGCTGGTCAGCCATCCATGGATTCACCTTCACCCAATGGGAGTACGCAGCCATTAGTGCAGGACAGCAATGCCATTGTGCCAAACGTGCCGCCGCCGCCGCCGCCACTACCGGCGCACAGAGACAGATTTCAAGAGGTCTACGGACGAAGCCGGGCGGGCAGTGCCAGACGCACCACCTCCGCCGCCGTCTGTAGCGCAAGGGGCACCGCCGGCCGCCAAGGTTAAGTCAGCGCCCCCTGGAAGCATCTCCGCAGCGGTGCGCGCTAAGAGAGCTGCGACCAAGCTGAAACGATCGTCGCAGATGGGCAGCCTGTACAGACGCCTGCGTGACAGAGTGGAAGGCTCTGGCAGCACGCACGGGGGCAAGAGACGGCAGAACGGCAAGAGGCTCCGGACGGCGTGCGCGCCCAAGAGCGACGCCGGCGGCCAGAACATGGCAGATGCATTGGCCGAGATGACCAAGAGGTAGTTCTGCATGCGCTTGCGTGGAAAGGAAACGCTGCCATTAGCAACCATGGAGCAGTATAGTTCATTTCCTTCGTTCCTTGGTGACGATGAAATGAAAGTAAACAATTTTGATGCTAATAAAATCCTGTATGTCGAAATTGAAATTGAAACTGAAAGATCGGCGTACTTCCGGCAAATCGAAGAGGACGCCGAGAAGCACGCGGCCGCGATCCTGGAGGTGAAGGACGCCATCGGCTCGTTCCAGTCCAAGGACATGGCCGAGCTGGTGAGGTTCCATCAGCACGTCGAGCAGCAGCTGGTGTCCCTAACCGACGAGACACAGGTTAGTTTCCCCTGGAGCTCAGCCATCAGCCGTGCTTCGGCGACGAAAGCCTTAAGCCTTTCTGACGCGCCGTCGAACTGCATGCCGCGTTGCAGGTGTTGGCCAGGTTCGAGGGCTTCCCTTCCAAGAAGCTGGAGGCGCTGAGGACGGCGGCCGCGCTCTACTCCAAGCTGGACGGCGCCGCCTCGAGGCTCAAATGCTGGAAGCTCACCGCTGGCCCCGTCTCGCCGCAGCTCGACAGAGTCGAGAGCTACTTCAACAAGGTCCGTGCACTGCTGCACTGGCCAGTGGCCACTGGAGAATGCCTGGTGGTACGAACGCTGCTCAAGCGTGCGAGTGCGACTCCGTGCAGGTCAAAGACGACGTGGACATGGTGGAGCGGAACAGAGAGGAGGAGACGAGGCGGCTGCAGTCCCACGGCGTCCACTTCGACTTCAGCGTGCTGGTCCGGATCAAGGAGGGCATGGTGGACCTGTCGTCCGCCTGCATGGAGCTCGCCTTGAAGGAGAGCCAGGACGCCAGAGAGACAACGACGACTACGACGACGCGTGCGCAGTGGGCAAGCAGCCACGGCGATCGGGCGTCGAGGATGCTGTGGCGGGTGTTCCAGCTAGCCTTCCGGGTGTACAGCTTCGCCGGAGGTCAGGACGAACGGGCGGACAGGCTGACGAGCATCCTGGCGCACGAGATCGAGGCGCGGCGCCTGTAAAGACTTCACGTGCGACGTGTACGTACTTCGGTGTGTACACGCGAGAAAGAGTACGTGTCATGTTATGTGCAGTCATACTATACACCCACTCCGTCTCCAAGAGATACGGTTCTTTGTCTCGGTCAAGTCACACTATTTTAAGTTTAAATAAATTTTATCCAAATCCAGTCATGATTCGTTCCAACTCATAAATTATGAGATAGTTTCTATATTTGTTAAAATCATATAGACATTACACCTAGAAACCGTATTTCCCAATTGATAGTTTGTTCAAAATAAAAAAAAATTATCCAACCACGTGTCTTCTCTTTCTGCCGTCTAACTGTCATCTCTTTATATCTTAGTTCCTTTACATACATATAGTTTCTTGTCTAAGAAACTATTTTCTCAGCTCTTTGTTTAGTTTTAATGCCACGTCACTATTTTGCTTAGTTTTACTAGAGCTGAGACTTGGGACGGGCCAAGCTATGGTCTTTTGTCACGGCCCAAGAGCAGCACGAGATCCAAAATCTCATGTCGTGTCGTGTCGTGCCTATGATTGTAGCACGATGGGTTGTATGCCCATCCCGAAATATTTGTAGTTCTATTTAGGGCGTGTTTAGTTCCGAAATTTTTTGGCTTCGGGTTACTGTAGCACTTTTTATTTGTATTTAGCAAAAATTATCTAATTATGGACTATTTAGGCTTAAAAGATTTGTCTCACGATTTCTTGGTCAACTGTGTAATTAGTTTTTTTTTCGTCTACATTTAATACTCCATACATGTGCCGCAAGATTCGATGTGATAGGTACTGCGCAATTTTTTTTGGATTTTGGGTGAAACTAAACGGGGCCTTAGGTTGCAGTGCATGAAAATTGAACGTACATACATCTTCAACACTATAATACAATTTTTACTCCTAATTATAGTACCTCTCATCGAATTCTTCAATGGGTTATGAAAATCATGCAAACTTTCATAAAAATGGTACCTACAAAATATATGCTTTGTATGTCATGAGCAGACTGAAAAATAAAGGGAAGATATTTGAGGATCGTGTTTGGATTGTTACAGCACGAAGGCGTGACAGCATGCCATGAGCTGTGTTTGGGTCAAAGCAAAGACTTTGTGTTATACTGACATAGCCGGATGTGCCTCCCGTGTTTAGAGGTCCAAGTGACACGAAACATACGAGCATCAGCCTCTTCGTTTGGTTTTGGCTTTTCGTAAACGATCGTAAAATTTTAGTTGGAATAGTATTTTTTTCTCATATAAACCAGCCAGTAATACTTCTTCACGAACCAGCAACGAAACGAACCAGCCAACCGAACAGATTGCATGTTCGCTAGAACTTATCAGCCGACTTATCAGCTAGAATCTATAGTATTTTTTCTCACAACCAAACAGCTTTAGTCAACTTATCAATCGACTTTAATACCAGTCAAACAGCCCCTACAGCCACAGCTCTCACCTCTAGTTGGCATCATAATTAATGAACATAAATATCACCTAGTTTTTTTTGTTAGAATTACCTTTTATATATATATATATATATATATATATATATATATATGGAGAGTATATTTAGTAGCCAATTACAAAATAAGTTATTCCGTAGCCACCTCCATTTACAATAATTTTATATACTAATTTACGATAATGTTAATATATATTTACAATAGTTAGGTTAGTATAACATATGGAGATATTTACTGTAATGTTACAGTAAACCATTTAGCATGGGGTTATTATAATCTCGTAAATTAACATAGTAATTATCGTAACTCAAAGTGGCTACAGAATAAGTTATTTTGTAACCAGCTACAGATAGTAGTTATATATATATATATATATATATATATATATATATATAATGTCATATAAATATTTTTTGTTTTTCTAGTCGAAAATAAAATAGGGAAAACAGATTGATTTAATACTTGTAAAATGACGAAGATAGTACATGGACGTTGCGTTCGCTGGTCCGAAAAGTTCAGACCAGCCGGCTGCTCTTCTCATAAAAACACTATTTATCTTTTATCCACTATAGTATTTCTCCCTCACATAACTATTTACTGCAATGTTTTAGTTTTTTTTTTCAGACAAACGAACGGGCCGGAGTATCTTGCAATTGGATATGTATATATATTGTACCTCGCATTAACATTCTAGGAGTAGCGCTGTTGTAGGCTGTCGTAGTAAACAGTAAGCTGGTACTACGAGCACTGTTCCGAGTGACAGGGCGTATTGTTTGGTCTTTGCTGGTTTTCAAAATTTTGCAAAATTTTTCAAGATTCTTCGTTACATCGAATTTTAGATGCATACATGAAGCATTAAATATAAATAAAAAATAAAACTAATTACATAGTTTAGACGAAATTTACGATACGATTTTTTAAATCTAATTAAACTATGATTAGATATTAATTGCTAAATAACAATAAAAGTGCTATCGTATTATTTTCTAAAAAAATTTGTCAACTAAGCAAGGCCTTGGTGGTGCTGGGGTGGAAGTACTGTAGGAGGCTGATGAACACTGAACTGGGCACGCCACGCCATTAAAGGCGGGCATAAACGTAGGGCATGTAGCAGCAGCGCCGAGCGAACCGTCCCGTCGCCAAGCATAAATGCACCCGCCGGATGCGATGCGACGGACGACGACGCGGCCGGAGGAGAGGGAGGACCACGACCGAGGCCCGCCGGCAGCAACGGCAACCGATCGAAAGGCTGGCTGGCCGCTGGCCCTTTCAACAAGTCTCAAAAGCTCTGCGCTCCGCTGGCAGCTTTCTCGGGCCGGAGAAAAGCCGAAACAGACAAACGGACTGTAGGAGAGAGAGAGGTCAGGGAGAAGAGAAGGCGAGAGAGAGAGAGAGAGAAAGCTGAGGCGCGCAGGCGCTGTCGCTGGTGAGGACATGCTCACGGCAGCGAGGCATGGGCTCAAACCATAGGCGTGTCAGGGACGGAGGAGAGCGGCGACCACTCTTCGTCTCGGTCCTCGCGTGCTCCTGAGCTGGCTCCTCGTGCTAGAAACCCTCGCTGTCGCGGGTGTTTAGTTGCAACTGCAAGCGTTGCTGCTGTGGAGTGGCGGCGGTGGAAGTGGAATCGCAGCCGGTGCCGCGATGGACGCGCAGCAGCAGCTGGATTTGGTCATGCGTCACCAGAGCATGGCCACCGTCTGCGAGAGCGAGGTGGCGTGTCTGTCTCCTTCTCCCTCCCCGCGCGTCCCAAGATTCCACCTTTTCGCTTCTTCTTCTTCATCTTCTTGTTCTGATTGGTGTGTTGGTCGCTGCCCCGGGTTTTGCTCGGTTGGGTTGTTTGGTGGTGGTGGTGGTTGCAGGACGCGCTGGGGTCGTCGGAGTCGGATCCCGCGAGGCCGGCGCGCCCGCGCGGCAAGAGGAGCCGCGCTGCCGAGGTGCACAACCTCTCCGAGAAGGTGGGTGCGTGACCGGTCCTTGTCTCTTCTAGCTCCTTTCCGCCGTTGGACTGGACAGTTAGGTAGGTGAGAACTTATGTCCTGACCGCCGATGAGACTGGTGCAGAGGAGGAGGAGCAGGATCAACGAGAAGATGAAGGCGCTGCAGACCCTCGTACCCAACTCGAGCAAGGTCGGCTCTCCTCCTTTCCTGTCATATTGTTTGGTTCTTGCGGTTTCTGCGTTTCCCCTGGAACTTGGGAGCTAATCTTGCTTCTGCTGCTTTTGGCGAATGTTTCGCAAGTGCAGACGGACAAGGCCTCCATGCTTGATGATGCCATTGAGTACCTGAAGCAGCTTCAGCTCCAGGTGCAGGTGACCAAACTGACACCGCACTGCTTGTTTGCTACTTGCTAGTACTACTACTAATTACCTACAATTTGGGATATGCTGGACTGGCTGGTAGTAAGCAACACATATGCCTGGTAGTACTACTACTAATTACCTGCATCTTGCCATGTTCGCTTGGCTGATAAACCATGGCTGAAAACACTGTTGGCTGATTTGTTGCTAGAGAAAAATATTGTTTGTTGGTTGAAAAAAGTACGGCTTATAAGCCAAACGAACAGGGCGCTAGCTGGTAGGCTCGCTAAATGATTAATAATAGTTGATATGGCCATATTCGATGTCAAGTAGCTGATGTTCTGCGAAACGGTCAAAGTGTGAACGAATGAAGTTAGATTGACGTGGCAATATCCGGATGTGAAGTAGCTGAATGTTCTGCAAAACAATCAAACTGTGAAAGCATGAAGTTAGATGCTCGTGACAAAAACAAGTTTGGGAGAAATTGTGGTGCCACTATATTGTAGATTTAGCTGATCTTACACCGAAGTGAATTGCTTAAAAATTATCAAATTCCTCTTACACGTGTATGAGAATGAATCATGCAATAGATTAATGCCAAAATTACTTAAAAAGTGCCAAAATGATGGCTCCTTTGAAAGAAAAACAGTTTACAATTGCTTACGGTCTGCTTAGCAACTAGAGTCAGTAATTAGGAGGTAATATTTAACTCTAAAAAGGTATCAGGAGGTATAAGTTTCTAAGAGATGCTTTAAAGTTCTATATCCGATGTTGGAGTATGTACACTGTGGTGGCTGGGATGAATCACAATGCTCGGTTCCTATCCTAAAAGAGAAATAGAGAACACAACATTTAGCCGTCTTTGTTTTGTGTATTGTTATATACTACTAGCTCCGAAATGTTTTATCCATTCCAGTTATGATTAATGTATTCCTCATTTATGCAGCCCAATATCAGCTTGTTTGCTATTTCTTTTTACAGATGTTGTCTATGAGGAATGGCCTGTATCTGCCCCCAGGAAACTTGTCAGGAGCACCTGAGGCTCTGGCACCCTCAGAAATGTGTGCTGCACTTAACCAAAGTGGTGCCAAGGCATCAAATTCTGGCGCTGTTGTACTACCTGGAAACCAAATTCCTGTAGCTCGTCTTTTATTTGATCCACCAAATCATGATCAACGGCATGAAAACCCACTTGTATTGCAAAGGAGTAGTTCAACCGCTGTAGAGCCTCAGTTCCTTCGAGAGCCAGCGCATGCACAGCCCAGCCTTCAATCCTTTCAGCTGGCTCTACCTCCTGAGGTAAATGGTAATCCTTTTGTTATGTCTAGAATCTGTAACCCAAATAGGTAGTAACACCTCTCTTTTTTCTTTCACTTGTTTATTGCTCATCTATATAGATGATCTTCAAGGAGGACATGATGTTAGAGCATCGACTAACTTCAGCTCAAGAAACCACATCTTTACCAGGTTAGAGATTGTACAGTTTGAACAGCCATAGTTGGCAATTCGATAAGTATGTTTGACTTCTTACCGATTTTAACCTTAATCTACTCCTTCGATAGGACATGAGGCCAAGCCTGGTAGGCAGGAAGCACGCATGGTGAATTCTGATCTTTTTGATAGAGGTTCGCTCGGGAAAGAAAGAGCACAGGACTTGATGCCAAAAAACACTGAAAGTGTACTGTTTATGCCGTACTTGCATAGGTAAGCTTCTTTTTGACGCATAAAGGGGGTGGGTAAATTGTCTCTTTTTAAGATGAAAGGGATCATTTGAAAAATAAAATGCTAGTGATAGCTTCCCTTGTGATTTTAAACATTTTGTGAAATCAGCAGTGAACGACAATTATCTCTGCCCCATTCAGATTATTCCTTGTGGTTACAATAGCTTCGGCTTCTTTTGCCCCGAGGTTTTATAATGTACTTCTGAGAAAAGCATTGCATACCCCGATTTGAAGAGCTCTTATGAGCTTAAGTTCCACTTAGTGGTCTTGGTTCTGATGATGATGTGATTTTCTACATTAATCATGTGATTGGTTTACTTAGGTTTTGTTAAATTATTACAAAAAAGGCCATCGTACAGGTATATAGCATCCTTTTGGTTCCTCTGATCAATTATACATTATTCCTCTAGAAATCTGGTGCCACTAGATTAGCTCACACATGTTGACGCCTGTTCGCTTTCTGATCATGGTCAGCTTGCAGAGCGGCGACGCAGAGGGAAGTCTGAGGGCAGGATCAAACTAACTACAAGATGGGTCGCCCTGAATGATTTTTCCCATTGGGATGCTTCGTTTTGGCAGGACCAAGGCAAAGAGTAGGAACTATAGGAGCAAGTTCACAAAATCGCCATTTGATCTGAATGTTAGCAGCTGAATTAGATTGTAGTCTGGTAAACAATCTTGTAAAAAGAGAGCATGCATGAATTTCGGCCACACTGACCTCATTCAGTGGTTTCAGTGGTAATTGGGTGGATGTATTGCAAGGCTATCTGCTGATCTCTCCCACTTCTGTAATGCTATCTGAGGTTATGGATATACGCAATGCTTTCGGCAGTTTCAGTTGAGAAGAAACCTGGAGGTTTGCAACGGCACAGGCACAACCTGATGCAGATTCAATGTTCTGCAATCTGCATGAGTTTTGTGTTGTTGTCTCTGAACCTGGATGCAGCCAGTATGCTGCTCTTTTATCCGTTTAGCTGCCTCTAGCGTTTTCTTTTGCTACTCTTAAGTCTTAAACTGCTTCTTAGTTCTTATCCTGTGCAGCTCACAACAGCAGCAATATTAAAACTCTCGATCGTGACTAGACAGCCCCCATGTATTTCGGCTTAAGAAGATCTTCTCACACAAAAGAAACCCCGAACCCCTACCATATCCCTACAGCGGCACCATAGCTAGCTCTGTAAAATGAGCCAGCCAGACATATGCTTTAGAACGAGAGAGTTTTTTCCTCCCCTGGTCGCTGTGACCAAAGCCACAAATAAAGAGCTGAGTCCTCGAGACTCGAACTCTGACCACCCAAAGGGGAGGTACTGAGACAACACCAGCAATATTATGCTCTCCCAACAAAGAATTTCATGCCTGAGTAGCAATGGGCAGATAGAAGCCACATGAACAAAGCATAAGCCCGCTAATCTAATAGGCTCACTGTAAATCCATGGATTCACAGAGCAGTCACAAATAGACAAGTAGCTAAAGCAGTCTGTCCTAGATAACACATAACATCCCTTTTTGCTTGCAAACACTAGCTAAGCAAACCATGGTTGGAAGACAAGGAAAAGTAGGCAACACGAGCATTATGTCATTACAAGCCATCAGGGCTTCATCTCCTCATCCTCCTCGATCTTGGGGGCCAGGTAAAATCTAATGTAACCCATCTCAGCGATCTTGTACTCGACCACCACTGGTAGCTCAGACGACAGGCTGATAGTCACTTGTTCAGACAGTGAAGATGCCTTGGTGAAGGAGTTCATGTACCTCAGGGCAAAGGTCAGGGAAACCGGCTCTTGCATCTCTATAACGGTAGCCTCTTCTGGCTGCATTCAACAAAACAGTATCCATTAGCCAGGGCAGTCGTCTTTCATATGCTACTGTATTTTTTGAATTGATACAATGCAGTATAAATTAATCCATTGAGAACATCTCACTAATGTTGCAATGTTTTGTTGAAGTTATAAGTACATTAGCACAGGTACTGGAGATTTTTCATATGGTACCAACAGCAGTTAGCATCATAAATAACTTCTAGGCGTGATTAACAAAATACGCAATGCAGATAATAAAAATCAATAACTAGGACAAAACCTAATTCAAGCAGCGCTATCAATTCCAATTGAATCAACCAAATGAAGTGTCATGCTTGCTTTCCAAATTGTCATCTTATGCAATAGACAAATTACCAGATAGCTAGTGTTTTAGGACATCAAATTGCAGGGACAGAGCCAGAAACAGACAAAAGGAGGTGCTAAGTTACAAAAGCTGAAAATTTAAATAGATTTCAACCAGATCTATATTGAAGATAACCACTTGTTGCTTGACAGCTTGAGTAAGGTGATAACAAGCTATGTCTCAATGTACTCAACTCTCACTTAAGTGCTAACGGTTGATTTTGTGAGCCGGACTGGTGAACCAATTGTACAAAATGAACCAGTGCACATACCACAGAACCGTAATAACAATCTAGAATAGGCTAAAGATAATTAAAGAATTAAAGAACAATACAAGTACACCATTCAAACTTAACTGCTAATTTGGTAGCTACAAGCAAATAGGCTTAGCAACCTTGGTGAATGACTATTAATGGAGTACAATTGCTAACCACTGTATGTAGTAAAATCTAAAAAATCGAAGCTCACTGGCATTTCAGGCAACAGGCACACCAAAATTCAGAGAATGGAAATTGTCTGGGTTGAGTTATGACAAGCTACCTTGTCAATAGTTTGGTTCTGCCTGCAAACAATGTTTGCACTCCCAATTTCTCCAGAGGTGGAGAACTTCACGCCCTCCTTAGTCACCGAGATAACGACTGCGACAAGAAAACGGCAACTGCTCAATCAACAAAGACTAAACAATCCACGACAGTAAAATCAACACGAAAAACTCTTATGTACCAGTGTCCCCGATGCTGCTAAGGTCCTTGCAGATCCTCATAAACTCAGAAGAAGGCATGCGGACGATGGCCTGGTACTCGGAATCTGGGATTCCGAGGTGCTCACTGTCGATGTCCATAAGCTTCATCTCAAAATCAGCAATCTTATCTTGCTCTGTTCATTGCCACACGGGAACCACGACGGTCAGGGTCAAAATAACAACCAGATAAGGCAAAAGAAAAAAAAACAGAGAAGGAACGGCCGCTCACTGGGCGACTCGAACATAAAGGTGACGGTGTCAGAGCCGTCATCGGCCTTGATGGTGATGATGTCGTCGTTGCCGGCGCAGCGGAGCATCTTGGCCATGTTGTTGAGGTTCATGCCCATGGAGAGGTTGCGGTCGCAGCGGTAGTGCTCGAAGCCCTCGGCGCGGAGGAGCAGCGCGACGAGCGCGACGTGGCTCGAGTCCATGGCCTGGAGCGAGAACCCGGTCCCGGAGCAGTCGAAGTTGGCGTCGGTGACCAGCTCGCGGATCGCCTCCAGGACCTTCTTGAGGAGGCTCCCCTGCACCAGCCGTAGTTCCAGCATCGTGGTGGCGGTCTCCTCGTCGGCGGCACGGCGGCGGAGGGGGGGAGGGGAGATCGGGGAAACCCTAGCTGGGATCTGGGTGGGAGCAAGGGGTTTTGGGAGGGGCGAGTGGCGGCGTGAGAGAGGAGAGAAGAACGGGGGGGAATTAATAGGGACGCGTTTGGGGACGCGGAGCGGAAAAGGGAGGGAGAAATTTGGGAAACCGCCGCTGCCGCGAAATATTTTCCCGCCCGGGAGCTCCTTGCCCCGGAAGATCCACCTGACAGGTGGGATCTCGCTCCGTGGTTCAGAATCGGCCCCATCTGTCGGTAGGAAACACGGGTGGCGGTGGCTGGTTTGGGAAAGGGCGGGGATCCGTGAGTTGAGGCGGGAGATGCAATTGCTTTCCCGGCATTTCCCGCCATCTCTGCTGCGCGCACTAGCTCGTGCCTTCCCTCCAGTCAATTTGAGTTTTGTTTATGCAGCCGTGTTTCAAACTTTGAATGCGAACTTTGAGAAGCAATACGGTGCGGAGGAAATAATAACAAAATTTTATGTGGACGGGTTTGAGAAAATAGAATTTGTAAAAAAAATAGTTAATATCTTTACAGAACCACGATTGATCGAATTCGAAATACTAAGCCTATATTTTATAATTTATTTAAAATACATTTATGTGCTCTCGCGGTCACCAAATCAATCGTCTACTTTGTTTTACTGAATCCTGATTGTCTACGTTAGGTAGTCCCTGTACTCCTCCGTATAGGATTTAGAAGTCGTTCTAGCGCAAAATCAAAGTTGATGAAAGGAAGTCGTTCTAGCGTAGAAGCAAAGTTTTGGACGACGCTACAAGCCCAAACCCAAATGCGCGCTTCTCTCGGCTCCTCATTGCCGGGCTCTCGGCTCTCGTTAGGATTTAGAAGTCGTTCTGCGTTAATATCACTTTCGTCGCTTTTGGACGACTTTCAATGGGCCTCTCTCTCTTTTCCGGCTCATCGCCTCTCTCGCCTCCCACTCCTCCCCACCTCCCACTTCAAAACCATGGAGTTCAAGCCGGAGCTCGACGCGCCGGAGTCGCAAGAGCTCGTCGCGCGTGGACTCGGAGATAGAGGTGGTGCCGGACTCGCAGATGGCGCTGGACTCCATCACGCCAGAGTTGCAGGAGCTCGCGCCGGACTCGGAGATGGTGCCGGATTCCTTGCCGCCGGGCTCTTTTATATGCGCTCGTTGTCATCTCGTGCATGAGGACCGCCAAGCATGGAATCGTGCGCACTCGCGGTTGTGGCCATGCTCTCGCTGCGGTCTCATCCACGCGGACTACATAATCGACGCCATACTTCAGGGCCTCAACGAGTTCGACTGCGAGCTTTTCATTAACCATTACAAGGAGCTGCTGCCGGGAAAAGATGACGCCAAAACATCGGTAAGATAACTAGCTTTAGTTCTAATTAACTATTACAAGGATGTCTCTACTAATTAAGCTAACTAGCATCATTCTAATTGTTTGATGCAGCAAGAGTAGCCTCGGCTTCATCTAGCAAAGATGGTTCACAAGGGATAGAAGTTGACAGCCGATCTTCTCTTTCTAATGTTTCTTTTTGCATGTGAGGAATCTTGAACTTGTTGCATCCTTTCACCTTCATAGCTTCCATCAAAACACTTGTAGTGTTAGAAACATTTGGTTTGCTTTGTGTGCCGAATATTCTATGAATGCCTACAAAACAAGTGTGCAAGAAATGAATGAATGAGCAAATTTGTTATTGAAGAAAAAATGAAACATGTGTGAACAATTTGATCAAATTACCTATTACACTGCTGGAACTAGAGCTTCTATTGTTTTTGCATTCTTCTTGTATTGAATTGCTTGAATAGCTCGAAAAAAACCCAAGTCAAGAATGTTGAAATTCGGAGAATTAGGTGGTTGACAAATTAGGCGAATATCGAATACTTCTTGCTTAGCAGCCTCATAAAAATCCGGGTCATCCAATTTCAAATGGGAAGGTGCATTATCCTGTTGAATGAAGATTGGTTTGCCTACATCTTCTCTTGGCTATTTGACTCGAATGGCAGGCAACACTTGGTTGATCATGAAATCTTTAATCACGTCTTTTGTGATCGAAGTTATGGGCTTCATAACCAAGTCTCCCCGTACACGGCCAGTTCTCTCATTACCTCTCATAGCCGGTTCATATCGAACAAGTGAAAAATAACCAATCCTACCATCAGAAATACAATTCCTATCCCTAAACCTTGGCCGAGCACAAACACACAAGAACATGAGCCTAGGGATGTAATTCTTGTTCTTACAAGTCTGATGGGGATCATCTTCTTCGGGTAGCAAATAATATTTTTAGATCTTTAAGAGAGGTAGAACCATTTTTCATCAATGAACACAAAGTCATACAAATCCTTAAACCTTGGATCAACAAGGAAATCCCTCTTAATCATGTCAACACACCACTTTAATCTAGACCTCTTATTAGCTTCAGTGAGATATGGTTTGATGCTACTTGAGTGGCGCCTAAGCAAACCTTTTTTCAAATACTTTTGAATCTTTCATTTGCTCATGTTAAGTTTGGTACACACATTCTCTATAGTCATTCTTTCATTTAGAGGGATGTTGCGCAATGCTTCCAAATCAACAGGGATTGCCTTACGACCAATTTTACCCTTCTTTAGACTAGAAACCACAATCGGAATAGAGTTTGCAAGTTGTGTTTTACCTCGCTTCCATAAACGCTGAACTGACCGAATGTGAAGGCCAAATTGATCAGCAACAATTGTAGTATATTTTTTGCCTAGTTTTCCATTGTTGCTTCTAGCCAACAAATCTTGATAAACTTGTTTTCGGAGCTCTTCAGACATTTCTTTCCTTCGGTGGGGTTCTTCAGCTTGCTCTTCAACGGGAGCCTCCACATTATGTTCTACTTGTAAAAAAACAAACATTAGTAGGCACAAACCGAGAAACTAATTTGACGTCGTTGCTTACCATTGTTGTTGTCATCCTCCATTATTAGCTCGTTGAGATCCAGGGGAACATTGCCGTCGTCATCTTCTTCTAAACGCACATTCAGATCAAAGCCGGGGAAGAAATCACCCATTGCAGCGTTAAGTGGAAAGAGAAGAGGTAGAAAGAGGAAGAGACCGTTCCGTTTAAATAGCAAAGGCAACGAACGGCGGAGTACTCCAAGCATCGGACTTAATCAGCGCCAAAACGAAAACAATGAGCGCCAAAACGAAATCAGCGAGCGCCATGCAACCAAATCCTAGACGAAGCAGGGCCCTGCAGCCTCCGCCGCGACCAAACGCAAAAAAAAAGAGCGCCATGCAGCCAAACGCCAACGGCCACGCCTATCCGAAACAGGGACATGCAGCCTCCGCCGCGCACAAACGCGAAAAAAACAAATCCGAGCGCCCATGCACGCGCCAAACAGTGCCATGCAAAATCAAGCCACAGCAAAAAAAATATGCGCCCGTCGAGTTTCGAACTCAGCTCACCAGCCGCACGCCTCCATGCACTAGCCGTCTCAGCTGCACCAAGTTCTGGTATGGAATACACCCGCAAACGTATTTAATAAGAGCAGACAGGGAAAAATACCTCCTAATTAATCACTCCTTGGTAAGCACAATCATGTCCTAAACGACCTCTAAATCCTATTCGGAGAGAGTATGTCTCTATCTCAACACCTAAAACGTTTTAAGAGGAATAGTTCACCGGCAGATCTATAAGACCGGCAGATTACTACAATCCGACTCTAGAAAAGAAATTGAAAGGAGAAAAATCTAAAAAAATCTTCGGTACAAATTACTTTTCCAGAGTCGAGGTGCATCACGACGCTTCTCAGGGCCCCTTTGGATCATAGGATAAGAAATATATAGGAATAGAAAAAGCTAAGAAATCCAGATATCATACTTCTCTATTCCTATGAGAATTCAAAACAAAGGAAGATGAAAAGAAGGCCTTTGGAGTATAGGTGAAACACAGGAATGGAACACAGGAGCTATACCCGTTGTGCATTGAAAGCAACAGTGTAACAGAACCGACCAATTATACGAAATTAAGTAAAAAAATCATCCGCTAGAGCAGACGATTTAGCAAACTTAAGCCCGTATAACCCGGTAGTCCGTGAAATCACGAAGGATTTCAAACCAACTCACATCCCAGCCACGATCGGAATAAGTTTAGCGGTCACCATCACATATTACATAAAAGTTCGCATCATAGATACATCAGAGTTTAAACATAGTTATTACAAAATGAGTTCGAATAAAAGTAGCGGAAGCCATTTGTTTAAAACCACACACACTCACACGGAGTTCAAATACAGTGCCAGCTAATGATCATCTCCAACAAAAGCATTAGACGAGACATAAGGAATGACCATGTCCATGGTCCTAAGCATCACCCATCGTAGAATAAAGGCAGTTGATACAGTAGCCGTAATACATCTGTCCATCTGCAACAAGTGGGAATAAAACCCTGAGTACGAGAAGGTACTCAGCTAGACTTACCCGACATAACCGAAAATAAATGACACCAAGAATTATGAAGGGCTTTATAGTAGGGTAGCTGACTCATTTACAAAGAAAGCATTTTTAGCATTTTAAAAACCTTTCTAAAGACTTTATTGCCAAGTTAATTAATTATAACCTGCCGACTAGATTTGCACCTATACTAGAGCAAACATGTGATTAAACCAATAATGATAACCAATGATCATTAGCCACTTCCATATTGTTATATGCATTATAACTGTCCAAGTGTTCCATTAACATTACTACGATGAAGTAACTCAAGTCAAGTGCTCACTATCCAGGAGCGATGGCGATTCGAATCGATTCCTAACCAGCTGGTGATTTATTCCTTACACAAACCTCACTCACCCGCTAAAGTGAGGTATTGATCACCGAGTCAACTATCCAGGAGTCTCGAGTTTGCCAGGAAGCACATGTACCCAGGGGCCGACCGACTGCACTTTGGTCTTATCATCTCGCCCCGTGTCCTACCACACACTTTCTTT